ATTTATATGCTATTGCCTAAAGAAATCAAATCAACTTTATAAAATAAGTTGAAAATAACTGATTGAATTTAGCTAAAACTCACATTTATTAAAAAATATTTACAAGAAGATATAGTTAAAGATAAATTTAAGGATTCTCTAGAGAACTAATCCATTTGATTGCAAATATCAATGAAACTCATTAAACATTATTGAAATCCACAACAATCAAAAATAGGTGCTTTTCTCTTCACTCGAATGATGTAAAAAATGAGTCAAAGTCATCGGAGACAAACCATCTAGACTATTGAACAATTCATGTGCTTGTTATTCTTTGTAGCCTTTTTAATTAAAAAAAAACTTGTAGAATGTAATGAAAAGAGGAAACACTATTGGATAGTCACAGAAATATGAATTCAACAATATAATCTGTAATCTTACAAGTTTTACAAATGTGACAGAAAATGAGTAAATGGCTATGGGTGTGGGTGATATCTGAACTTCCACAAAATTTCAAGGATCTATAAATAATCATCGATAATATTAATGCAATCACCGATCAAACCAAGCAAACACCGTATCTTGATTTGTTATTCATCCAAATAAAGAATATGTTGGATGAAACTCTAGTATTTACGTTAGATGATATTAGAGTTTTGAACTATTATTTTGGTAACAGATCTGATCTACAATTGATTAATCTAATGAATAACAATGCGTTGATTGAGCATTCATTCAATGACTTCATTCATAGTCTTGTCATTGGTTATTCATCAAATTCGACATCTTTCGAATTCTATCCCTCATTATTGGACATTCCAGCAGATTGTGTGCAAAATCATGCAAAATTGTTTCATATATTGGAAGCACTCGTCGATTAAATTCGAATAGTAAAAAACTATTTATTGAATAGGAAAAGAATGGCATAATTTGAAAAATCGTTGAACGAAAAAAAAACGAATCAGTCTCCTAGTTATTTTCAAATGCAGTTCGGTTTTTTTAGAGCAAGTACAGCTGATAATAACCTGAAAAATACTATATTTAATCAAGGTTATGAGCAACTACATGGAAATGCACATGTGCTACTTAGAAGTGACATTCAAAGACTTTGGTGAGCACACTATGTTGGCACGTAGAGTACTGATCATGGCGGATCCTATCGAGATTCTATTACGAGTATCTGTTCCGATATATGTACTACACGATTGCCATTATTCATTCTGCGTCCACACGGTCGAGCAAATAATGGTTTGAATCGTAATCAATATATTTCAAATGTATTTCCATCGAATCAACTGATTCCAGGTAAAATTAAAAACAATATCAATTTGTTGGACAACTAATGGGTGTGGCTATTCAAAGGAAGCATTACTTGGATATAAAATTTCCTGATTTGTTATGGAAACAATTAGTAGACGAACAAATGACTATCAAAAATATTGAAGTGATTGATATGGAAAGTTTTGTTATTATCAAAGAAATGGAAAATAATATAAAACAAAAGTCAATCATTGGAGAATATCAATGATATCAATTATTTATTTTGAAGTATTATGAGTGAACTTCAATTTGATATTGTTCGTTTAGCTGAACATACATGAACTGATTCTCGGTGGCAAAGATATTCCAATAACAGTCGATAATTTCAAAGAATATTGCACGCGTTATCATGAATATCGTCTAAATGAATTTCGTCAACACATTGAGTATATTTGTGAAAGAAGCCATATATGGAAAAAGTCGAATCGATATATACTGAACGATTCTGGAAAGTTTTAAGTGAAATGTTCAATGAAGAGCAGAGAAAATTATTCTTTAAATTCCTTTGGGGAAGAAATATATTGCCAAGTCAAGATGAAGATTTCACAAGAAAGATTTCCATCAATCTAACAATGAGAAATGAATGTGAGGCGGTTAGCCTACTTCCACGCAAGTAAAATTGATCCATGTCAATATCAATCTTAATCATCGCATCTTTGAGAAAGATTCTTTTTTCATTTCAAATTAAAAGAAGAAATTTTTTGAAACTATTTGGTTTTCGAGCAATGCTGCCTTATGGATTGAAGCTCAGGCATACAAAGTCATTGTCTTATGATCTTTGTAAAACTTGCCATTGAAGAATTATAAGAGTTTTTCAGAGACTGTTAAATGCTCTCTGGTTATCTGAAACTTACTTTTTGAGATAAATAGCCTGCTACCTCGTCATGTATACCAAGAATATTTTTTTTGAAAATCATTTTAAGTGGATTCACATTGGAGGTCTCATAAAAGACTTGCACTTCTTGAATAGAATATGGTAGACTATAAATTCATAAACTATATCTTTTCGAAAACTATTGTTCGACTGTCGACTCATCTGTATCTTTATAGAATTTTCATTGGCATTGTTTTCTGAAAGTACTCAACTTAGAAGTAAAACGTATATCATTTTATTTAGAGATAGAATTTTAGCATGCACCATCGATTTTAACAGTAACATTCTGAACATATGATCAATGACTTATGGATACGATTTTCGATTTTTGTCTCCCACTATTTTCTTTTGAATGAAAAATCTCATCATTGGTTAAGATTAGCTTGATCTAAATTCGTGTTCATCGTCGAAAAAGAGAACCGATTTGCATATAGTAGATGCTTTAGAATATTTGAGAACTTTTCTCTCATTTTTATAAGGAGTGTTTTGATTCAATAAATTTTTATGAATGAGTCCTTATGAGGACCACAGATGACTTTTAGAGAAAAATTAAAACCTATTGAAAACTTTTGAGGTAGATGCTCGCTATTGAATATGAATCTGTGTTTAAATTTTTATGATGAAAACAAAATAACACTCGTGGAGATGGAATTTTGAAGATTTTTCAAAGAATTAAGCTTAGGACTCCAGATGTTATGAATGCTAGATTGTTCCAGATACTTCATTAAATTCTGTAAAATTATATTTAATGAATGAATGTCGTCTTTCAGTATACAAATATGCATGAAGTTTTGTTATTATTAGTTTAGAATCCCATACATGTTCATTCGCTTTTCATTTCCCATCGAGTATTAATGCTGATGCGTAACAACCTCAATTAGAATGAAGTTCTCGTAAAACAAATGTTAATGCTCTAAGTGGGTTTTTTAAACTAATACGCATTAGATATTATAAAAGAAACAATTTTATTTCTTTGAACTCGATATTTTATTTCTAATACTTTGATCCTCACTTATAGGCTTTCATTTATTGATTAGAAGATCTACACCAGCACCCACACCTTATTGTTCACATTCTATATATTTAATTTGTTTCTCATGTTATATTTACTTCATTGCATTAAGTATTTTTGAGCAATATATGCCATCAATAACGGAAAACAAATAAATTTGCAACAAATTGCAATAAGTATTACTCGATTTTATTTCGATAGCATAAATTAATTTTGAAAGAGAATTGATAAAATATGAGAAAACGGCCTTTATGATAACTTGTTTTAGAAAGAAAAAACACACAAAAATCTCAAAAACCTCTCAAATGCCCGATATAAAAGAAATCATGCTTGCTGGTTAATAAAAAATCTTTTACAGAACTGATCGTTTGTCTTTACTGGTTTTAACCTTGACTTTAAGGTAACTCAGTGTTTAACTTCTTTTCTGAGTGGATATTTATCTTTTCTCACAATCCTCTCTTACAGTTAGTGTATAGAGTCGTAAAAAAGAAACTCGGAAGAAGTAAAAGAAAAAAAGGTAAAAAGCAACTATTTACTCGCATCAGAACTGTCTTTCGATAACAAAAAAACAACTTTGCCACGTGTAGAAACATATAATCAACAAAACCAAAAGTGACACGTTTGCAAATAGCTTCATTTAGATTTGTCGACTGATAGTGGTAAGTAATACAAGATGATAATTAAAAAGGAAAGACATACTCGACAAATAATTCACTGAAGGATGAATAGACTCCAAACATGAGTAATGTGCAGAGAGTAAACTTTTTTGATAAGGATTGCAATTATTTTGAGACGAATCTACGACAACTATTTTGTCTTATTGATGGAAGATAATGCATTTTCTCCATTCTCGACATTGATTTCATAGCTGATTATTTTCATTGGCCAGGAGAGAAAAGGTATTCTTTTTAGTATGTAGGCATCATTGCAAGCTGGTTGTTCAGCAGCTTCGATCGTATATATATTTCTTTTTTGAAAAGTAAGAATGATGAATTTTGGAAGTGAAAGATGCTTTTTTTATTCAATCTTTGTGTTTTTTTAAACTGCATTCGAGTAAATTTGTATAAGATCCATTAATAAGTATAGATTTAAGGTGTAAATAAAACTGATGAATACACGCTACTCCATCCATATCAACATTTCTATTCTGGTTGACTCTATAATCTATAAGTCATTCTTAGAATTCCAAAAACTAGAATAATTGTTTGCAAACAAGTTTATTCTTCTTATTTCCTTGCACTCAAATGATTCAATGACATTCTAAAATTGAATAGGTTGTACTTTGGAAATCCAGATTGTCCTTTATCTACAGAGTAGCAAATGTTACCGACACTACCTTTCGCGCAGAAACACACAGAAGGTAAGTATTGATGATCTGAAATATGCTTTTAGAAAAGTGTTCTTTCATTTGACAACTTGAATTAAATAAGTTCATTCCATAATTTTTGTTAACTATTCGAAGTACAAATGCTTTTATCATCCTAGAAAAGCCTTGGCTCAAGTGCCAGTTTCATGATATCCATAAAACATCTATTAAGAAACCCGACGAGTTTGGAATCAGTGAGAAAGATTATGCTCCGTCGTCGAACATCAATGATGATATAGTGGATCGTATTCAAGGTTCAATGTTTGGTTTGGCAGTGGGTGATGCTCTTGGCGCTCATGTCGAATTCAGACCTCATAGTTATTTGGTTGCTAATCCGGTGAAGGACCTAATAGGAGGAGGAACATGGGGTCTACAAGAGGGACAAGTAAGAATTCTAATAGTAGGAAGTCTATGGCGATTTGTTTTTATAGTTCACTGATGATACCTCCATGGCACTTTGTTTGGCCATTTCGCTAATTGCTTGTCAAGACTTTGTTCCATACGATCAACTGGTTCGCTACAAATGGTGGTATCGATATGGCTACATGTCATCAACTGGTCATTGTTTTGATATTGGAGCGGCCACAAGAGATTCTATTCAAGAATTTGAAAAGCGTCAAAGAAAGTTTGCAGAAGATCATAGTATTCCTTTTGATCAAATAGACTTTTTGTCTAATCGTGATCTCCTTCAAGCATTCGATGTCAAATGTAGCCAAGAAGGTGTAGCTGGTAACGGAGCCCTAATGCGTCTCGTACCTGTACCAATCTTCTTCTTTCGATGCCCGACAGTGGCTTTAGAATATTCTGGCATTAGTGGCACAATTACCCATGGAGACAAAAAAGTTTACGACGCTTGCTGTTATTATGGAGCTCTCATCGTAGCTGCTCTTCGTGGTGCCACGAAAGAGAAACTGCTTAGTAAGACATTTTATCAAGATCATTTTGAATGGTTCGGCGATCGAAAGCTTCATCCTGAAGTCATAACGATTGCTCGAGGGTCGTATCAAAAGCTAGGTGGCTATGCAGATGGAATTCGAGGAAAAGGCTACATTATCAATGCTTTGGAAGCTGCTTTGTGGGCATTTTGGAGTGATGAAGACTCATTCGAAAAAGGCGTTCTTAATGCAGTTAATCTAGGCGATGATACAGATACAACAGCAGCCATTTATGGTCAATTGGCTGGTGCTTACTACGGATACAAGAAATTGCCAACAAAATGGATAGATCGTATGTATGCTAAGAATTTCATACATTGTGTAAGCAGTTGGATTGCTTACGAAGGGGATAATTGGTTTAGAAATCAGACCGTTCCAGACATGTTGTCGACTACAATTGTACGCAAGGTAGTCAATTCTTCTGGTCGTATAGGATACCTATATGATGGCTGCCGAGATCGTATTATAGAATCCCTCAGTGTGAATTTGAATATTAAGGAAGGTTCTTCGTATCCATCGATAAAATGTGTGATGAAAAGTGGCGAGCAGCTTGAAAATCAAAATGTCCTTCGACTGATTGAATCGTCCGCTGACTTTCGATTGAGTGTATTATCGAACTTAGTTGCATCAATAGGTATTGTTGCCGTCATTAATTATCCATTTGAAATCGATGAATACACTCGCATCTTCTATTATTCCTATTTGGTTCGAAATGAAGCCATATTTGATGAGAAAAGCGTCAAACAAAAAGTGTATACAAGTCCCGTCACTCACCTCATTACTGCAATAGATTCAGGTATCGACGTTGTAGTTCTTTTGAGGTTACCGCTTGATGATTGGAAGACTATCGATGATAATCTCAATCAAATTTGCGAATACTTGAAGCATGACACGGAGCAAGTTGCTAATGAAAACACATTGAATAGAATACTTTCTACACAAGTCTATTCGAATTTGCCTCATTTAGTCAGACAGACAAGAATAGTTGATGTGTACAAGGAAATTTGTAGAATCAAAAATAGTCCTTCTGAGTATCAACCGTGCAACTATATTCTTCATCCCATCAACATGTTTTATCCAGATCAGAATCAACAAAACATCAAATTTGTTCCCATAGAATCAAGAATCGCAGAAAGGATTGAAGACCACTGGTTTCGATTATCATCTTTCAAGAAAATATGGATATCATTTCAAATCAACACAAAACCCGACGTTTGGTTAACTGATCTTAAGGAGCAGTTCGTTGCAGTGCAAGAAAGAGTCTTCATATTAATGGATCAATATGAAGAGGAAAAGAAACAAGGTCAAGATTTAATTCTCCGTATTCGTCAGGGCAAAGAGTCGCCAAAGGCTATTGAACGTCTCTTACGGACTGAGGAAGATGAAACGAAGTTAAAGAGTAGCATCGATTATTTGAAGCGTCATCTAAGAACTTTGTACGCAAAGCACTATTTTATTAATGATTTGAAAAACCGAGGATTTGTTTATTACCTAGCCGAAAGATATAATATTAAACGTGACGACGATGAAGACATGATCCAACGCAAGCTAATCGGAGATAGACGACAGATATTCATCTTGTGTTCCAACGACAGCTTAAATGCTACGAATTGGTCTCAAACTGAAGAGAAAATTACACAAATGGCTAATGAACGGGCAAGATACCCTGATTTGAATCTATTTTACGTCGATTTCTCTTACTGTTCACACGAGCTGAAGATGATTAAAATGTTTTCGTCAACGAACGATAGTCCAACCGCTGATATGTACGATTCTTTGGTACCGTCGACAATCAATTCCGAGGCTCATTCAGTTATGCCTTCTGTCAATCCGATCATCAATATTGTTCTCGTAGGTAAATCAAGGGTCGGAAAAACGACGCTAATTAAAACAATCGCCAACTGTCTACAATTTAAAACATTCGCGGAGGTACAATGGAGTACATCTACCCTAGGCTGGCTTACTTCATATATTTCTCCATCAATGAGCGGTGTGGAACCCCATTTTAGTCAGCTCGATAATAACGACTCTAACGAAGATCCTAGTCATCCCGGTCAATCCATAACTCAACGTTGCAAACGGTATACATTCAACATCGAAAACGGGCAAAAACTGTGTATCATTGACACACCTGGCTTTTCTGATGTACTTGGTCAAAGTCAACATGAAATAACAATGGAACACATACAATCATACATTTCGAATCTAAGGCATTTGAATGCCGTCTGTGTTCTAATAGAGTCTGGCGACCAGGAACTCACTGCCTATCAGCAGTATTTGACGCAGTTACTCAATTTCCTTGGGCCAGAAGCGCATAATAATCTAGTCTTTGTTTTCACTAAATATCTTTCCAACTTGAACAATGACTATGAAAGAAACTCCCAAGTTCAAACACAACTTCAGGCATTTTCGCTTAATGACATCCCATGGAGACACGAACGTACATTTTTTTTTGACAGTACCTTCTTTCTTTATTTAGCTAGAGCAAGTTGGTTCGATCCTCATGAAATGAAATGTGAAAAAAGCTGGTTGATTTCAATGCAAGGAGTAAAGCTACTTCTTTACTGGATTCGTCAAACCGGTCATCCATATTTCATACGTCAATGGGTACAACGAGCAAAATATGCACAACTTGAAATTCTACAAATGATTCGTCCGATAATGGAAACAATACGAAATATTCTTCGAAATCAGATATTATACAATTCAGGATTCGCGCATGAATGGATTGAGTTACATCCGAAACCTATTCAACGACCTTCTGCTATATGTTACTCATGTCAACGACCAATTCAACAATATAGGAACTTTTGGATCGTCTCTGATTCTTTGCATGAATTCCGTGATCAATGTGAACGGTGTTCATGCGATCCAAAGCAGCATGTTCAAGTTGATTATCAACTTGGTTTCGATATGGTCAATAGAGAAAATCATCAATCGGATGAGTTGGCTACTTTGTATGAAATTTTTTCTGCAAGCATCCACTTCGCTCATTTCCTCATAGATATTGCTCAGCATTCCAGCGATGATCTATTCTTGATCAGTCTCAATGAGATGATAAATGAGGAGAGTTACATTTGTGACAATAAACCTAATCATCGGTTCAATTTGGAATTACACAAAGAACTTCTAAAATTCAAAAGTGACTATGAAATAAGAATAAAACGCAGACTAGAGAAACGTGTGCACAACGATTTGATGATTATTCATGATTACATTGAACGTGTCAAACATATTCCCATGGTTCAAAAACAAATGAACACCATCAAACCATTAACATAGTTTATTTTGAACTCATCATAATAAATTTATTCTTCTTACCCTTTGTTAATTTGCATTATCATTTATCTAGCCTATGTAGATTGTACGCACTATTTTGGGTGCGAGTGTGAGTCTGGGGTGGGTGTATTGATAATTTTTCCAACGACAAACATCCAAAAATTGAAATTATATTATCGCGAAGTTTTTTGTTATAGCTCCAAACACAAACGAAAATATGTTTTTTTGTCAAAGCGAGAAAATTTCCAAGAATGTAAACTTCTTTGTACACCTCCAATGGAAAGCATTCTTTCGGATGAGTGTGTGGCTACAACTTTCCTTTGTTGTGAAGGCATTATAGTTCGATCGAATGAAATGAAAATCTCAGTAAGAGTTAAAGCTATTTGTCCAATTAGCTTGTTAAATCATGATAATCGGAAGGTCAAAACTAGATGAGTACGTTACCTGTAGGCAGGCAACATAGAGGGGAACAGGATAGGATGGTGCGGTCATTCTGGTATCTTGTCCTGCCGCACGACAGGACAGAACAGGATGTATCAGCTTGTCCTGTATTTTTATATGAAGTTTCCCTCAGATTATTTGTATAATACTTATCATAATCGGTTACATTTGACATATTTACTATCAGTTCTAGATGTTAATATCAAAATGACAAACAATGCTCATATTACATTAGTCGAGAAAAATTTAAAACCATGAGGGAGCATTACAATACAATGATAGAAAAATAAATAAAAGCAGATAAACAATAGCTATTGAAAGTTATTCGTTCATCCGTGTTCATTTGCTTTCTTGTTCACTTCTACGTTTTTTTAACGATTTTCAGATTTCTTACGTTTTCAAAACAAGGTGATTTATAGATGTAGTTGAAATATCTGCTTTACTTGAAGCTTCTCTCAATTCAGAAAAAAATATAGTTGTCAAAAATGAATCCTCAACGGTATTCTCATCGTGATGAAACGCATTTCGATTTTCAGCTAAATTAGATGAAAATAATCAGTATCAACGTATTTTCGAGTACATTAGCTGCTTCAAGTACTTTCAAATATTTATTAAGTTATTGAAAAACACTCATTGATCAGTTGGTATTAGTTTACTTTAGACATAGCACTCTCACTGTCACCCAGTGCTATTCGTGTGCAAATTATATGTCTCTTGTGTTTAGAGTAAACTAGTACTGATGATTTATTTTTTTTTGTTGCTCTTGATATGATTACAATACGATACTATGATGACTATTATGAATCATTTACGGTTCTTGTTTTATAATGTAATTTGGAGTGATGAGCATGTTATTAAAGCTAATGCATTTATCATGTTTATTTTTTATTTATTCAGTTAAACATCGCTTAAGAATAGAATTATGATGTTTACAACTGTATGGATTAAATTGATTACAAGATAATCGAGATATTTAATATATGCTTCATTTGATGGACAATTAAATATGTCATGTTCGTCCTGTCCTGCCGCTCGGCAGGACGGAGGTCGATTGCAGAACAGGGTAGGACAGAATGAAAAAAGTTGTCCTACTCCTATCTCTGGTTTGAAACAACCTCAACTATCAACGGCTCCGTTTATTATTTACAATCGTTCTACTGCCAAATGAATTTTTACTGTATTCTATACAAAGATTAAATCGAACAATAATTTCGATTTGAGTCATATACTGTCGATAGTAGATAGTGTTGCTACATCCAAATTTTGAAATATGATACAATTGATCTCACGATTGAGTAGATCTTTAGGGTACTCAACTTTTTACTGAGAGAAAAGAGTTATTTCAGAAAGACTACTGGAAAATTAGAATTAAAAAACCCTCCAATCTAGAACGCTACAAAAATGTGCGACTAGGGCATTCTAAGTATAGTGAAATTAACTATAACAAAGTTTTTTTATTGAATATACTTTTCTTTAATTAGACCATATTTGAATAATGCAAGTTCATTTTAAACAAATGTAAAAACTCAATACGTTTGATTTTAAAGTTTAATTTCATTTTTTTTCATCAGTCATAGTTTCACTTATCATTGAATTATGACTATAGATGTCTATATTGTTTAATTAGCTATAGAACTTGGCGCCGCATAAATAGAGCTACAATCATAGAACGGATAAGATAAATCAAATTTTGACTTCTTAAAGATAATTTTGAAAAATATATTTTCACAATAAAAAATTTATATGTATGTTTCTAAAATGAAAAATCAATTATAGATGTATATCTTGATTACAATATTATCAAATATTTGGTAATTGGTTGATCTAAAAACGTTTCGTCAAAGCTATAATTTCGACGCTATTATAAAACAAAATTTCAAATTTGTCAGACATTGTAGATTCAGTAAGTCAAAGTAGTCCTCAAATACATTGCAACGTATTTCATAAATATTTAATTAAGGTATGATTAATTCTTATTGAACTTATTTGGTATTTTTCTGACCGTTGTACAGTCGTCTCAATTAATATATATCTAGTAACTATATTTTGTGATCCAAAAATTGTCTTTAGACTTTAAACAATTAGAGAAGAAATCAAAGTTACATAATGAAAAACTTGAAAATATGAGGACGATGTTTCTGAACTGCGATTCCAGTAGCTCATAGAAGGCAGTATTCGAGAACTTTGAGTCTAGGATAACTGTTGCTCTACTTATCAAGATCTACCTGGTCTGAAAGTTTCAAAATTTTCTGATGAACAGTTCTGCAGAAATTAAATTTGTACTGAAAAATGAATAGATTTTTATTAGTTGATTTGACCAAATCTATGGATCAACTGAGTGACGCAGCGAAAAAACAGGACACAAACAGAAAATACAGTATTAACAGTAATTCGAAATACATAGTAGTATTCCATGTGGAAATTTTTCATTAAAAGAGTAAAATATAATTCATGTAAAACTGGCAATGGTATATTCTAACGTTTTCCGTTTTTGAGAAGATAAATATTGATAGTTATGATGAACTTTTCCCACTTATAAGAAAAAACCAAAGTGCATTCTTGCCAACTGATGATGTAGGCGCAGATACACTATAAAAGATTGTGGCAAGTTTTTTTGTGCGCAATAACGATATGATTGTATGCGTCGTTGTAAACACGTACTCAGGCAGACAAAGATTCTGCAAAACACATGCAAACGTCCAAAACATCCATTTTGTGAGTTTTTCAGCACGTTGCTGAAACAATGGTCATGAAAATTGCTAAGAAGTGCCAATTTTAAGCATGTATACACAGGTATTTTGTATTTTCATCATTTGTATCCATTTACGGATATCTGTGTAAGAAAATTAAATCCAGGAGGACTCTCAGTGAATTATGTGCACCTACGAAAGTCCATTTTCAATGAAGTTGAATACATTACTACAAACTGTATCACAATTATAAATCGCATTGAACCTCTTTTATATTCGTCAAAATCTCTCGATACTCTCTACAAGCGTCAACATTATAAATTTCTTTCTCATGGTGTAGTCAGAAAGACATTAGTGTATCATGAATGAAAATTTTTCGTTTCTTTTCACGATGATCTAAGGAATCGAAATTACCAAAATTGATAGCATTCTTTCGATGTCGATACACATTGAAAAGTACCTGTAGTGATGAATATTATTAGTGTTACTTTTCGTTTTTCTCATAATATCGATCAAGCAAACACGGAATTCTCGATGCATTATGAAAATGATTATACGATCTTTTTTTGAAGTTCGAAATTCTATCACTTAATCGTTTATCTGTGTGAAAATCGAAAATTGTATTAACTAGAACATTTTAAGACGCATTTCTGCTGTAATAATTTTAAGAAATGCTCTGAAATGTTACAGAAATGTATTAATGTACTTCAGTGCTCTGAATCCCATTTGTTAACATCAGTGATTTAGGAGACGGAGGGAGGGGGAGTTTGAAAAAAACTTGATTTAAACTTCCAATAACTATTACATCCATCCATCTACTTACACATTGCAATAATTATTGTTTGAAAAAAAATACAATTAGCGTTGGACTTTGCTTAATTGATCATCATGTCTTTTGTTTTAGATATCTATTTATTGAAAAATGGATAATATGGTAGTTGATGAAGATAATTCACCAGCGACAACGACTAATTTTATTTCGACAGAGTCAACTTCATTTGGTTACGAAGATTTAATCATTCATATTCAAGCAATTCAATCTCAAATGATTAAAATAACAAAATTTCTTGATGACCAATGGAAAAATGAAAAGAATGTACGACAGGAATTGAAATCACGTTCAATAACATTTATTGATCCATATGGAAATAAAATAACCAACGAATATATGGATCATGAATTAATTAGCACGTTGTTCAAGAAGTACACGAAAGATTATGTACCAAAATATTTACAAAAATGGATTCAAATTGGAAAAATGAATCAAAATGGTATCTCATCATTGAGTGATGATTATATGAAATTATCCATATCGAAATATCCAGATGATTATCAATTTAATTACATATGGTGATTTGAATATCTGAATAGAATACTGTGAAGAAATACCACCTCATCAATCTGTACTACCAGTTCTTCTAACAGATACCATCGACAATATTAAAATGCAAATACCGAAACCCTAAAAAGCTACAAATATAGAACTTAAATCAGTTATATTAAATCAAGACATTAAATCTAATGAAGAAATATGGAATGAAGGTAAAGCATTACAAGCAAATGATACCGTTTTGTCATGTCAATTATATCAAGATAATTGTATCATCATGGGAAGTTTCGCAAGAAAAAGCAAAATATAAGATTTTTCCATCACGCATCATACAGGTTTTTTTTTTCATAGACTGATAAAGATGAATCCATTTGTAATTTTAAAATTTTCGTGAAAACTCTTACTGGAAAAACAATTACTTTACAAGTCAATGTTTTCATGGATATAACTACTGTTAAAGAATTGATTCAAGAAAAAGAAGGGATTCCTCCTCAACAGCAACGTTTAATATTTAATGGAAAGCAAATGAACTGCAAGGAAATTCTTTTGAAATACAACATAAAAGCGGAGTCAACAATCCATTTAGTACTACGTTTACGTGGTGGAATGTATCATTTTACCAGTGGACGAAACGATTTTGATAATCTGCCATGTCATGCAACCGAAGCAATTAAAAGTATTCTTGCATTCAACCTTAAACATATGAATCATCTTGAACGTTTATCACTAGCCGAACTACAAAATTACGTTTTACAAGGACAAATTGTTCTTTCAAAATTATTTTATGGAATAGATGGCTGTTTCGCATCTGCTAACGATTCAAGTTTGCAAAGCCTTCTTTTTTCGAACATCGTCGATAATGAAGAAGAAGATGAGGAGGAGGAGGAGGATGTTTCAAATGATCAATGACAAACAACTCTCCAAAAACAATTACGAGTAATTCGATTATTAGAACATAATATACTTAAAGATTTACTTATTCAAGAAGAAAAAATAAGACTTCGTCAAGAAACTCAACAATTATTATTAAGTATTGAAGATCGAAAAGATATTGATTGGATAGATATTATTGCTGATTTACAAAGTAAATTAATTAAAAATGCCATTCGTGAAGATGCAATTGAACATGAAATTCAATGTGATTTAAGGTAAATACTTTATCTCACTGATTAAATAAAGTTTCTTGCAAAAGTTATGATGGGAGAAGCATTATAGTATTTCTTATTTGCTCTTAAGACAACTTAATTTGTCTTAAGCTGAATTGATAGACGATTTTATCTGACATTAGTATTGTTTTTCTGCTCATCATTTCATAGAATGCTAATGACAGATTTTTATATTGATAAAGCGAAACTTTTTATTTTCAAGCAAGTATTGAATAGTGAACAACTATGTATCTACTTCGACTTTTGAAACTTGAAATCGATTAATAATTTGTTTCAGTATTCTGAAATCTCATATCACTTTCGATTAGAAATAATAATTGAGCGGATTTAATAGATGATCTGACTTTAAAAGTGAATATTTTATTTATATTCTAGAATATTCAGTAGTGCTCATCAATAATATTCAAATGATAGTGAATTTCATAATTTATCCCTTTATGTTCGACATAATCGTGCAAAACAAGGAAATCTTCGTATTGATGATCTGGCAGTTGATATTCAATTACTAAATATGAATAGTCAATTCGTTTCATTATTATCTTATTTTAATTCCAATCGACCATTATCAATTATTGCTGGTTCATATACTTGACCACCATTTCGTGGTCTTGTGCCACAACTTAATCAACTAATGAATTTTTATCAAGATCGTGTTGATATGATCACTGTTTATATTGAAGAAGCTCATGCAATTGATGAGTGGTAAGTTGACGAGAGAAAATTATTTCTTTTCGACTTTATTTTCATATTGAATAAAATAGGCCAATTGGTAGTCGAATATGTTATCTTCAACCAAAATGTGATAACGATCGAATTCGTATCGCAAATGATTTTATCAAAGGAACAGACTATCGAATTCCATTATTAATTGATCAAGTATCAAAAAATAATCCATTTAGTCAAGTTTATAGTCCATGGTCACTTCGATTTTATGTTATTGATCATATGAAAAAATTTAGTTATATAGCTCAACCGATTCAAGGTTCATTTTCATTAGAATTGATTAAAAATGCATTGGATAGAGCTATTTATAATTGTCAATAATTTATTTTTGTCTTTGAGGAATGATGATTATTATGTGTTATTGTGATGTATGAAAATGTAAAATGATATATTTCGTTGAAAGCATAAATCTTATGCAGACGAAAAATTGATGCATGGTCTTCTTTTTTTGTATCACCATAATACAAATCATTAATTTTCGAAGAGTTAAATTCATATCCTGTTTTTTTTTCTTGCAGCAATATGTATAAAAATTGTGTGAAAAATATAAATGTAGCTTTTATTATCTTTTCAACAATTACCAAAAGATGAAATAGAATTGAATTCATTTTATTCTAGAAGATAATAGAAAAATGATGTATAATAACTGTTCGAACAATGATTAACTTTTCCAATAACCACTAGTGTAAGCATAATACATTTTGTCCATTGTCGGGAAATTTTAAAATACGAACTACAGATCGATAATTTCCATTCTAGTTTCGGATCTGAGGAAACTATTGAGAATGTCTCCCGTCTGCCGGAACAATGTATGTTTTTTCTTTTTGAAAAAGGTGTCCTAAGTATAGAAAATCTTTGTCATTTTACTAAAATATCGTTCTTAAGACGAAACGAAGTTTTGCAAACTTTTGAAATAAATAAATTTCTATCAAAAGCAGAGTTTAGAAGGATCTTGTAGTAGTAAAAACACGATATCTATTGAAGTTATTTGCTTAACTACAGTAATAGTAACAACAAGAAAATTTCATTTGCTTAGGAGACTTTGTATTTCCATATAACCATCGTTCATATCATTGAAGAAGTGCTTCAGCTATCATAGGCATATTTTTTATGATAAATAAATTTAAATAAATATATCTTCTTCGTTGTACATATTTCAATACTTATTCCTTTAGCAATTGCTGTGGTAGTATTTTTTTATGGCAATCAATATTTTTCATGGTTCGACACAAGTCATTGATTATTTCCAATCATTCTAAGATTAAAGCAATTTTCCACTTATTGTACAGAAAGACTTTCACAGGCAACCATTTTCATTTCAGTCATACAGTATCGATACGTAGAAAGATAGTTTATTCTTCATACGCAAAACTATCTTTAATCATCGAAGTTTTCTATGAGTTAAAGTAATCATCTTGAAATAATGTACTAATAGTTTCTTTTTTTGTATGCTGGTTAAACACATTAACACAGCAAACATTAAGCTCAAGAAATGCTTATCATAGATGACTATTTGTGACATAGATAACAAATCATTGAAAAAATTCAAATTTCTTCTGCAAAAATTAGTCAAATATATATCGTCAATAGATGAGACTGGAAACAGCGTTTCTCTTATTGAGCTCTGCGTAGGACTAGGATTAATATTTTTGTTTATACACATAAATAAGAACCAAAAACAAGTCATTTCTACATTGCTTTACTCATATATATACATCCTGTCATGATCTTCCTATTTATTTATAAATTATTAATCAACAGATTTAAGCGAAAGAATACCATTGCGTGAATTTTTTTCAGTATCAATGGTTAATATAGAACGAATAAAGAAATTTGGAATGAAGTTCAAACCCTCAAGTCAGATGATTGCATCATCATAGCAAAGCTTTTCCAAAAAAGTGAATGGCCCCTTTTTGGCTTTTCAGTTCCCATGATTTGCTTTTTCTATATACAAATACTACAGATTGCTTTTCTAATTTTAAAATTTTTGTGAAAGCTCGTACCGGACAGAGGTGTATTTGTAAAGTTGGCTCCAACATAGATACAGCTACTGCGAAACAATGGATATAAGATATGCAAGATATTTCTCCTGATCATCAAAGTTTAAAATACGTTGCTGAACCTCACTATAGAAATACAAAATACAGTAGTCAAAAATATCTAGTAGACAATAGTTATTTTTCAGAGATAATCAATCGTCAGAGAAATGATCTCTCTCGCTTATTTCAGCATTTTCAACAGGAGTTTCTTTTTCTCCGAAAGATGAAAAAAAAAGAAGGAATGTTGTAATATAAGGATAAGAATTTGAACCTCTGCAGGTCGTGACGGATATTCTTGGCATGTGATCAAGGAGCGTACAACAATAATAGCTAGTTATGACGTCTGCACACTCTCCCCATCCCATATCTAGAAGATTAACTCAAAGGATAGTGAAGAGACGTGTACTTAAATAGACAGAACAAAGAAGTCTGCCTATGCTAAGCAACAGTAGTTACATTGTTCTCCACATTTTAGACTGATAGAGTTTGTATTAACAGCTTGTTCTTTTATTAACGTTCTATTTTTGTTTTCCATATTACTATTCGCTCATTCTCTCTAATATATCCATTAAATCTACAACAGGTCTTAATATATCTCGGCAAGCACATAAACTCTGATATTGATGATTTAGTAAAAATCTACAACTTGGTTAGCTCGCACTTTTGATACTGATCATATGCAGACTGGGTGTGGGTGTGGGTATGGGTGTTCTTTTGAGTTCCACCCTCATCTACATCCTCATTACGAAAATATATTTCGAAAAACTATTGGAAGAAATCAGAATTAAATTTTGCTACTGCTTTGCATGGTTTTTATTGTTGTATTCGTATGGCACTGAGTTCTGTAGTTAATGCAATAAATTTTTAGAATATAATCGGCCGATTTAAACAGAATTTATGCAAATATTTAAAATAACACCAATGCTTTATCGTATTTCGAGATCTTGTATAGTTTTACTGCGCATCTCGGTATTCGTATTGATGTAAAATGGTAAAACTGATAATGCAGACGAGATGACCACCGAGTGTGGGTGTAAAAGCAACGACAAAAGCAAATCGAAAAGCTAGCTGAAAATATAGAATAATTTCTTCATACTATAGTATTCTTCTAGTGCAATTAAGATGTAATATATATTTTACAAGAGAAGTTCAATGGTTTAAATAAATTCCAAATGCAAAAGTACTGAAAACATTTCACCTCTCAGATTCTGAACTTAGAAGTCACTCCTCATACTTTATTTACTACTTATGTTATAGGATCCATGTGATATATTCTCTTTAGGATTAGCTTTATTTATGTAATTTATAGGGAAGCAAAATAATAAAATACCAATGAAACGTGATAAATGTTATAAAATTTAGTTTATTAATGTAGTTTTCAAATGTTTTTTCAATCGAACTATGAGCAGAGTCCATCGAGTCTGGATCCAAAAAGTTTTGGACCCTTATGTAAAGCTTCAGCTATGTATGATGTAGATTTTTTAAAATAATGTTTTTGTAACACGTGTACTAATTATTCTGTTTTTTTTTCAGTCTCCTATGGTTCTAGCTGGATCATTATTTGAATTGTATCATGAAGAGACAAATTGTGTTGATACAGAAAAATATGAAAGCAAACAAAGAGAGCAACGATAAAGAACGATCGACGTAATGAGAGGCTTTCAAGGATGAAATAATATCTTATTTACTTTGAGCCTTCTCTTAGCCTACTTTGTATATTACACTATTTTCTACAGATACAATAGACATATTCCAGTGTATTTGTATGCTGTTATGATCGATCTGGATCACAGCTGCAAGTTTTATCTTTTGAGCATTTTGTTAATATTTTGCTTTTACTGAGCCACAAGAAAGTGCACGGTTTCTCAACGACTAGGTTTTGAGTCGGTTTTATTTCTTTTGCTTGCATATTGTTTACAGTCATTAATGTGCTTAGTTTTGGTAAAATTAAATAATCCATAGATTTTATTTCAGCACTTCACTATTGCACACTTTTTGGTCACCTGGTATGCTTTTGTTCAACAGTCTATTCGAGTACTTTCTCGATAAAATCAAGACATTGGTCGATTAAAACAATTTGATGAACTAAATGTGATAAAACTTCGAGAATGGAACCACCGAAGTTTTGATAATTCATGAATAATTTCATCACTACTATTCGAAGAAAATCGTTCGACATAGTCATCAAATAAAGATTTTTATTGATCAGAAAAGATTTTGTCAACATCTTCATCACCAGTGGAATGTAAGTCTTCACTATTATCATTTGACGATGACATGAATTATAGTGTCTCTAAAGATCTAAAATGACTGGAAAGAACACTACTGAAAGTTTGATTTGAGATGTTAACTACACTGAATTCTACTGTTTCGTACCACAAATTCACGGGTATAAAATTTATTATGAAAGATTTTCGAGATACATGCCTCAAGAAAACCAATATGCAGAAAATGAAAAGGAGTTCCATGGACAAAAATTATTAGACTATGACTACGTCGAAATTCATTTTTTATTCTTTGAATGAAAATATCATATGAACAGTTATAAGAAATCGGACTTATCGAATAGACTGTTGAACAAAAGCATACCAGGTGACCAAAAAGTGTGCAATAGTG